AGAAAAAGGTGGAAATGTGGTAGATATTAGATGGTTGTTTGCGGGGGGGGGGGGGGGGGGGGGCAGAAAAGGTCAAGGCTGTCACTTGAAGCTCAGCCCAGCAAAGGGTCCAACATCAATTATAACTTCCTAGTGCCAGCTCCAGACCGTTCTCCTCTGGCTTCCAGCTGACAAGAGGCGCACCCCCAGCACAACCCTGCCAACTGCTAGACGTGCCTTTGTGAGCCAGCCCAGCGCTGCCAGCCTAGAGGCCTGTCTCCAGCAGCGATCAGCAGCAGGTAATTTTGGAAAGAGCAGACACAGATAGAGCATGCCTGCAACAGGCAGCTGATGAGGTGGGGAATTACATCTCAGATCATCTAAAACTGTCTTGATCCTCTGTGTGCGTTTTATGAAGGCAGAGGCGACAGTGCAAAAAAATCAGGGGGCATGTTGGGTTAGGCGACCATGAGAACTGAGAGAGAGAAGTAAATCAAGCCAGTAGCAGGAAAGAGCTGGCCACTGCTCTCCCCTTGCAGCATGTGATGAGGATCAACAGAGCCTTCACCAAAGCACTCAGCTGAATGTTTTCTTCCAGCATGCACTGAAGAATGGCTTTTCAACTCACAGTTTTTACTCACTCTCTGGCAAGAAAGACGTAAAAAGCAAAGTCACACTAAATGAAAAAAAAAAAAAATCAGACTTTTTTAACATCATCATTTAGCACACGATTTAATCTCATGATGTGCAGGGCCTGAGTTATGGCACTGGATTTTGTCACAGTGGGAATACTCCTGGCTGGACTAGCAATACATGACCAACAGGGAACACAGAAACACAGCTTCTCCCACGTCCTGTTGCGTTGCCTCCACCTGCCCCAGGAAGACAACAGAAAACCAGTCCTATACAGCTGGATCCATCAGGGTTGCTGAAGGGATTCCCAATTCTTTGTTCTAACATTGCCCCAGGAGTCCCAGCCCAATCCTTAAAATGCATAGGGCAGAGGAAAGAAATCACACGTTAATTCTAAAGAATAAGGTGTACGTCAAAAGTTTCTGCCTCCTTCCTGTTACCAGGAAGATGTATTTTGCAGCACAGCCATAAACCTCAAACTTTGAGCGCACTAGTGGCCTACTGCATTGGTCTTTCCAACAAGGCAATGTGAACCCTAACTCTCATCTCAATAGTGGGGAAAAAAAATCCCCCAACCTAACACTATTGATCTCAGTTCATTAATTTTGCACTGGGACCCAGTCCAGCACTCCCCAAAGCTGATGGAAGGTGGAGGAGCAGAGTCCTTCCAAGGCAGCAACGCATGCCTCATCGGTGAGCTCAGAGGGAGGCCTGGGGGAGGAAGGAGGTGTTCAGGAGGGTGAGGGAGATGGATGATCTCATCCTCCGCCTTGTTTGGTCACATCCCAAAGCTGTCAGGCACTTTGGCATATTGCTGGCGGAGGCAGGTTCGGCATGAGGAAATCTGGACGGCAGCAGTGCCAGCAGTCCTGGCTGGGGCGTGGATAGCCATGGGCAGCCACACTTCCCACTCCTCTGAGCGTGGAGGTACTCAGCAACGCTTCTACAGAAAATCTGGGAGGGCTGTACCCATCAGCTGTCTCACCTGAGGGATTTGTCCTCAGAAGGTCCAGCGCTCCATGTTGCCTGCTACCAGGCAGTGAGAGTCCTGACAGGGAACTGGTGCAGCTGGCCAGGCTCTGCCTCTGCATCAGCCCCGGAGAACATCACAAGCTTTTCCCAACCTACCCAGGAGAATTTCTTTTCTTCTTTTTTGCACATTTTCAACTGCTCAATCCCCAACTCCTCCCACAGGCCTCTCTGAACAACCCCCTCCCTTTCAGATGCTGATGCTTTTCAGCTGATTAGACTGTGGGCCACACTATAAGCTGGGTGTAAATCAGTATAGCTTGTCAATGCTAATTTACACCCGCTGAGAATTTCCCTCCCTTCACCATTTAGCAGAATTATATGACATGTCTTTTATCTCTCCTCACAGTTTAGCCTGCCATTCCCCTTTCCTGGCCCCCGAGCCTCCTGCTTTGCTCTGAACTCCCTGTAGGTTTGCAGGATAAGTTGCTTATTTGCAATGTAAAGTGTCTCTCAGTGCCACAGCCCCGTGCAAACAAACCCAAGAGAGGCACATTTATCCTTATTTGTGCAGCAAATCCAGCCCCATCTTTTCCTGGCAGCACGCACTGCACATGACTTGCTAAGGGAAGAAATGTGTCCCTTATTGGCACCACGCAATGCAGGACCTCTCTGGGGAGATGTAGGGGAGGGAGAAGGAGAGGACTGATCCCACAGAGGCACTGAGCTCTCGCCTTTCTCCTTGAAGCTGATGGCGATGGCTCACCACCAGGCTCAGCGCCGTGTAGGCTCTGACTGTCCACAGGCAGGATACCATTAATGACTTCTTGTTGCTATGGTGATATTGATGGATAGTCCCTGGGGTTGGTGGGAATACAGGGAAAGCTAGCAAACAACAACAACAAAAAAGTGGGTCAAAAAAATCCCCCGGGAAAATGTGAGTTTGCCTACAAATGGGCAGTTGCGTGACACCCTGGACAAATTCAGTGGCACTTCACACCTCCTGACTCATCCTCCCCCTTACAAGAACAACATGGTGTTCTTCAGAGCCAGTGCAAACACTCCTGCTCGCAGTAGGGCTCTGGCGCATAGGTGCACTGCTGCAAGCGAATTTCATTACCAGGCGTTATTTTTGCAGCTTCAGCCTGGCAATTCATTTCATATACAGAATAAAAATCTTGGCTCCAGCAAAATCACTTGGACCTGTGCCAGTGGGCACAGAGCCAGGATTTTCCCCAGCTCTCAGGATGCCTTATCACAAGTGACAATTTCATTCAGCTGCCACTGGGAACCCCCTGCCTCTCCAGAGCTGTTTCAAGCATGGAAAAGCTGCTGTTGCACAGAGTTTTTTGCTGTGTTTTCCTGAGGCTCAGTGCTGTGCACTCTCTAAAGCTGGTGTTGTGGGCTCTCTCACAGCTTTCTACTCTGCAATATGCAGTTTAGAGTCATCTTTTACCCTTCATCCTAGCTGAGTAATGACCACTGGCAAGGACAGGCTGCGCTCCAGTCACAGCTGGGCCCTCTCACCTTGCACAAGTGTTCTAGGAATTTGGGGCACAGGAACCATCTTCCTAAAATACCAGTTGTCTCTTTGACCTTGCTTTCTCCGGTAAAAACATTCTTAATTCAGGTTGGTGACATATTAATGAAGAACTGATAAAGTCCTAGCGGAACTCCCTCTTCCTCTGCACATGCTATTTATCTAAGCCCACCAAGCGGTGTATAAACTGCAAGATGCCTTGTTTTGGGAGGGATTTTAGTATGATCAGTAAATTTCAGAGTATGCTTTTTGTTCCAGAAAAGACTCGTATCTTTTATGCTGTGTTTTATGTCTAGGAGTTGCCTTACACACATACAAACTCACTAGAGAAGTTTTTACTCCAAAGAGTGGTACCGCTGCAGGCAGGTACCCCTCTATCACCTGATGGGCACTCTTACTCCAGAAAGTTGTTACTGGTTTGGACCTGATATTACAGAAGAAGCATATCCACGGGGGAGCAGTATCTATAGCAGTTATCATTAAGCAGACAGGTTTGCCAGTAAATGCCCCAGTGTAGATCAGATCCAAGTGATGTATCAGCATTTCCATTTACTTATGTGTTTAGATCCTTCGCCTCCACGTGAACTCAGGAACTGGAGACAAAACTACCCTGCTCCTCTCTTTTGCATCTTTTGATAAACGTAGTTTTAATGGACTATGGAGTCTGAAAGCACTTTACATCAGGAACAGATCCCAAGAGCAAAATTCAGTTAGTTTCTCCTACATTACATGTAGCTGTTCATCAAATTTATTGGGCAAGGTTCCTAAGCACATGGAGGCCGGACCAGCACTGACAGAGGCTCTCTCTTGTATAGCAACCCTTTGATCAGACTGTCAGCATCATTTATTTGCTTGTGTTTCATATTCTTGAATGCTCCAGTATGTTATTTTTCCCAGTTGACTATCAGAGGCAAAGGCTGCTCTTTCAAGTTGGATTTGTACCTCTTCCCTTCCTCTCCATTTCAATTAGCTATGGAAATGATTTTTTATTTTTTTTTCCTAGAAAATTAGAAGCTGTAGGCACACCGATGGCTGGAGAAGTC